TTTTGTTCCTGAATTTCTTCCACTGGAAGTGGAGATGAGACATTATGTAAGTGTCAGCTTCTTGTCATAGAGAGTAAGATTTAGGAGGGCAGAGAGTAACTCTGAAGGGGAATAAATGGAGAGAAACAAGCTTACTTGGGCTTAGCTCTTTTGATAATGAGATTTTACTAAATGTATAATGTCAGAATTTCCTCCATTTCCATGGATTGTACATGCCCATCACAAGAGTCTTAAGGCTCTGGATTATTTTCCTCCTTTTCATTTTCTTTCTTTCTTTCTTTTTCTCTTCTTCTTCTTCTTCTTTTTTTTTTTTTTGGTGATACTGGTGTTTGAACTCAGGCCTTTGTGTGTTGTTAGGAAGCTGTTCTACCACTTGAGCATGACTCCAATCCTTTTTGATTTGGTTATTTTGAAGATAGGGTCTCTCTTTTTGCCCAGGCTGGACTGAACTGCATCCTACAGTAGCTTGGGATGACAGGAGCATGACATCATGCTCAACTATTGTTTGAGATGGGGTTTTATGAACTTTTTGCCTGGACTGGCCTCAAACTGCAATCCTTCTGATCTCACCCTCCCAAGTAAGCTAGGATTACAGGCTTGAGCTACCAGTGCCCAGCTTTGATTGTTTTTTAATCTGGCTATAGCTCTAGACTCTTCATTTCTATCACAGAGAGTCTCATTGCTCCCTTCCCCCATTACACAATATATCTTCAACATCTAATTATAGAATTCTTCAATCCAACTCAATGCTAAGGTTTGAATGTCCCCTCTAAAACTCATGCTGAAATTTAATTGCCGTTGTAACAGTATTAAGAGGTGATTAGATCAAAGCCCTCAGGAAAGGATTTAGGACATTATCTTGGGTGTAGACTGGTCATTGCTAAAGTGGGCTTCTGATAAAAAGATGAGTTCAGCCTGATTTTTCTGTGTCTCCTGTGTTTGCTTGCCCCTTCCACCATGTTATGATGTAGCACAAAGACCTCTCTAGAGGCCAGTGCCATGGCCCAAAGCCTCCAGAACCATGAGCCAAATAAACTTATTGTTTATAATGACCTAGTCTGTGGTATTATATCAGCAGAAAGTGGATCAAGACAGATGAGCAAAATCAAAATGACTGTCATATTTTCTTCTCTCTGGATTTCTGTGAACTACTGATATTTCTAAAAATTCTGTAGAGTGTATGGATCGAGTAAAGGGAATAGAAAAGCAAAATAATCTTAAAAAAAAAAACCCTTCAGATCTTCTAATCTTTAGAAAATGTCTTCTACCACATCCCACTCCATTTCAGAATGTTTAGTTTTTTCCTTTAACAGTTTTGAATTGTTCCATTAAATTATTGCCCCTATACTCACTCATTGCAATTAGAGAAATGTTTGTGGGTTTTTAATATTTTGTTAGATGCTGGTGATATTCAGATTTATATCCAGGCAGATAAGAAATCCCATCTCCATTTTTCTCTGTATGTGCGTACTGAATCTTATTGACTAGTTTTCCTATTAATGTGAAAAAATTATATAACATTGCTATCTCATACAAATGTATTATGAAAACTCTTCATAAATATTGTTTTTAGTATTTGTATAATATTCACTTATATAGATTTGGTATAATTTATTATCTGCTTTATTATTGTTTGACAGCTCTAATGTTTCTATGTCTCCTTTTTGTTACTATACATATAATTGCCATCAGCAAACTTGTATGTCATGCAACACTTAAGTTATTTCTATATGATAGAACTAGAAGTGCTACAAGTGCTGCCATGGTTTGGGTTTACCTGTTTAGTGTTCCTATCCAAATTTGGCACCTTTTATTAGTCTATATTCTGGTAACATCTGACTATTAGGTGAAATTGTATTTAGTTTGATGGTGACTCATGAGGTAGATGATTCTCAGGGCGCTCCTCCACTAAGTGCCTGACATACATGCCATCTGCACTTGCTCATCCTGTTTACTGTTTACATTTCAGATGTGAGTAGTCATCCATGGCTTCCCACTTACTGAAAGCTTCATGAAAACTCAAAAAAAGTTTAGAGAAAAGGGCCAAGGCTCAGAGGAGCCAGTAAAAGTTTAGCAGACTGAGCTTCTGGAGAAAACTGAGGACTCACTCCAATCACATGAGTAGGTATGAGTAGGTAGCACTGAAGATGTGGTTTAGGGCATGAAGAATCACCCTTGCTTCCAAACATTTGGCCTATTGAGACTGTGCTTCCACTTCCTACCATTGGAGAGGTTGACTCTGGAAAATCTTGTTTGAAATGTACCCTTACTTGAGATGACAAACCCCCCAAAAGTATTGGTATTAATTGTTTTGCTAGAGATGATGTCCAGTACTTTTCATCTCCAATGAGGACAGAAAGGAAGACATGGAGAGAATAACATACAGTTACTCCTCCCTATCCACTAGTTTCCATATCTGTGGATTCAGTTAAATATGGATCAAAAATGATACATAAAAATTGCATCTGTACTAAACATATATACACTTTTTCTTGTCATCATCACTTAAACAATACAGTATAACAGCTATTTACATAGTATTTGCATTGTGTTAGCTAATTTGTCTGCTTTTGACTTTTTTGAGACCCTCGCCGTGTAGCCCAGACTGGCCTGAAACTCATATAGCCCAGGCTGGCCTGGAACTTGAGATCCTCCTGTTTCAGTCTCCTGAGTCCTGGGATGGCACACATGTGCCAGCTGTAGATCTTGGATGGGGGAAAGGGCTTAGGGGGGATAAAGGAGAATGATAGAGGGGGCAAATTCAACTAGGATATATTGTAAGAACTTTTGTAAATGTCACAATGTACCCCCAGTACAACAACAGTTAAAAAATAACTAAAAAAAAAGAGTCATGGATCAGGAGTCAAAAGAGAATCTGGATCTTCTAATAAATTGAAGTGTGATGTTGGGAAAGCCACTTACTGTATGAATAATAACCTCCTCTGTAATAGAAGAGAGAAAATGATAGCTACTCTGCCTCTCTCATAAAATTATTATTACACTAAGATGAAAATTACATGTGAAAATTCTCTGGAAGAATTAAGTCCGTACAAAGGTTAGTTCTTTCTTATTTTAGAAAAGTCACATGGTATTCTGAAAAAAATAATCACAAACCTGGGTTTGAATCCCAAATATTCTGCCTGGTACTTGTGAGATTAGGCAGGGTCAGCTTTTAGCTCCTTAACATTGGGAAATTGTGGAAGTCACTTCAATAGCAAAGAATTACATGAAACATTAAAAGAGCCAATGTAGGCATAGTTCACAGCACAGAGTAAACAGACAGTAACTGTTTATTTTATTCTCCTCTTCCATTCCATAATGACTGCATTCTGGCAGGAGGGATGCCTGGGTCATCAACTAAGGGTAAAACAATGGAGTGGTTAATGAAGACGCTATGGAATCTTTCACTCGTGAGATAATCAAGTCTATACCCACAGTCTGCCTGGGAACTTCTACAGTCCTTTTTAAGAATCTCATTTGAAACCTCAGTGATTCATTACAAAGCCTAATAATGCAAGTAGTAGCCGCAGACTGGCAAAGCTGGTGATTGGACTATTCCTGGTTGGCTGATAAAATTCTGTCTGGAGTTTTGTTTAATTTTGTGCTTGCTATGACTTGTGACTGCTGTTCTGATTTTTTTTTTTCTTAATCAAGATAGATAAGAGAGTTCAAGTTGTAAAAGTTTCTTTTTTTCAAAATTACACTATAAAATTGCTCTTCTTTATTGCTTGTATGCATGTGGGTGTTTCAATTAAGCAAATGCTCATTTCTAAAGGGGCCATACACAAACATATCCCAGCCTGCAACTCACATGTTCTTTTTCTGCTTAAATTACAGAGCTGTAGCTTTTTGCCAGCCAACCATATGGTTTCACTTTGGTATAGATATAAAATTAAATTGTCAACAAAGATCAGAACCATTTTTGGAATCTGAAACTTTGGAATACTTCCTTGTCATGTTGATGACACCAGTTTTGCCTCTGAGGAGTTGTTAATCTCTAGGAAACAAGCCTCATTCAAGTTCCCAGACCCATAGGTTGTACATCAGAAGCCCCATTACACTGTGATTTCCTGAGGGGTTTAGGGAAAGAAGTGCTCCTCTTTGTTTAATTAGCTGCTAGTACATTGCTTGAAAAGAGGGGTTTCAGTTTTGTTTGTCGAATGTACACATAAATGTCTCAGCACCTTCTTCAGGTCTGAAAATCAGACAACTGAGAATGGGACAGTATAATCTCGGTTTGATGACTGGAAATGTTATCTCCTTGAGGACCTAGCCATTGTGCCAGTATACTTTTCTCTCCTTTCCCTCCCCCTTCTTTTAAATAAGAGAGTAAGGGAAGCACTTTTTTTTTTTTAAATTATAGCACATTGTATTTGGCACGTTTTACCTTATGGAATTTCAGTATTGATATAATGATGTAATTGTAATTGTTTTATTTTTGGGGGGTGTGAACTACATGAGGTGCCTTTTTTTGTTAACTTGAATGTTCTTAAGCCTTTTCTAAAATGAGTTTGTGTAATGAAGTTTTTGGCTTAGGCTACATGAAGCTAACTATGCCCTTTTGTTTCTTCTGAGCATTCTGCTTTTATGGAACCAGGAAAAAGAACTAATTACTGTTTTAATGTCAACAAATCTGAAAGAAAATGCTTTTTGTAAGGGTTACAGACATCCACAAAACTACCAAAAACAGGCTAAAATAGGCAGTGTAAAATATTTTAAACCATGATTGGGTTTCAGTGGAATTTTAATTAGATTAGTATTTCTATACAGGAACTATGACTGCAAAATCAATTCTGCCTAGTCTTTAAATCAATATTGGACACCTCCCCTCCCCCTCTCCAGGAGCAGAGCAGTTTGAGCAGACTACACTGAAGACAGAAGCCAGTTTCACAGGCTGACTGGGTCAGCAGTGGCATGGCACTATGAAAGCTTCAGCTTGGAGACATTTTGCCTCTTTATTTATTTTTATAGAAGCAAGAAAATCAGCTGTGTGGAAGACAATGACTCCTACACTTTTGTTGTACTGCTTGGTGCTTCTTTTGCCCACAGAATCCTGTAAGACATTATGCCAGGTAAGAAAAATGGGAAAAAATAGGTGTCTGTGGCTCATGCCTGTAATCCTACCTACTCAGGAAGCAGAGATGGGGAAGATCTGGGGCAAATAGTTTGGGAGAAAATACCCAACACAAAAAAGGTTTTGGACTGACTCAAGAAGTATAGCACTTACTTAGAAAACGTGAAGCCCTGAGTTCAAACCCCAGTACCACCAAAAAAAAAAGCAAAAAACAAAACAAAACAAAAAAGCAAAAAACAAAAACAAAAAAAAAAAAAAAAAAGAAAGAAAAAAAGAAAAGGAAAGAAAACAGGCTAGGCACCGGTGGCTCACACCTGTAATCTTAGCTACTCAGAAGGCAGAGATTAGGAGCATCAGGGTTCAAGTTCAGCCTGGGCAAATAGTTTTTGAGGCCTTATCTCAAAAACCCATCACCAAAAAGGAGTGGTGGAGTGGTTCAAGGTGTAGGCCCTGAGTTCAAGACCTAGGACTGAAAAAAAAAGAAAAATTGAAAAAAGCATATTGGAGTAGAGGATGAACTGGTGGGGAGAGCTCACAAGTAACAGAATCCATAGTTAACCAGTTGTGTTGCTTGAGACCTAAAGAGTTAAGAGAAGGTGGTGATAGAGTGGCCCAGCCAGAGAAACTACAACAGGTGGCAAAAAACCAATTTTAGTCAATAACTACAAATTATTTTCCCATCAGTTCCTCCTCCCACATGTTCTGAGATACAGTGAGGCTGGAGTGATTTAAGAATAATAAGCTGTCCTTCCCCCCATCCTCAAGTTGTGAAGCATTTAGTTGCTCATAACCAGGGGGATGGTATTTCCTGAGCAGCACTTGAAAATGTAGATGTGGTGAGGTCTGCCAGTGGGATGAATTAATGGCATTTAGTCGGAAGGCTCTAAAAATGATTTGACACAATGAAGCATCGTCCCACTCAGAATGGCAAAAGCATCTCTCTTGAGAATCCTGTTAGTGAAAACTTGGAATAGGCTGGAAGGAGCAAGTAGTAAATGAGCCCATAGTTAAGCAAATTCTACTTGGGGTGAAGTTTTTAGTAATGTACTATTTTAACTTTCGTGGGACAGTGAGTTCTATGACTCTCTCTGGAATATTCTTCCTCATACCATAACTCATTTAAAATTTCCTATTAGTTACTTACTTAATTAGTTTTTTTTTTTTTGGCGGCACTGGGATTTGAACTCAGTGCGTCATGCTTGCTAGTCAGGCACTCTTACCATTTGAGCCACTCTGCCAGCCCAAGTTATTTACTTAAAATAGGGTAAGGAGGAACATTAGCAGATAGAGAATATAAAAATATTTTGAGTATCTTAGAAAGAGAGAATTATTTTTTGACCATAAAATCTGGAGGGAACTTTGAGACTGAATAATGGATGAAGTTCCACTCCTGACTTGATAGACAGAGACCAAGGCAGTGTTGTATAATATGATTCATGGGAGGTACGCAACTGCTTAGCTATAGGACCAAGGGTAGAACAGCTGTCTCCAGATTCTCAGCTTCTTGCTCTTTTCATTTTAATGTGTTGCTTCTTAACAAGAGTCTCCTTAGGAAAAATGACTTTCAAAGTTCTTTTCATGCATTTTCCAAATAGTATTTACTTTACTCTCTAATTAGACTCTGGATGAGAATATTCTCCATGATTTCTCCTGTCCCGCAATGCTGAACTGATACCTGTTTCTTGGGAGAAGTTGGAGACCCTTTGGAAAGACATTTTTTCTGGAGGCATCCCAACTCTACCGTTTGGTACTATTTATTTCTCCCTTTTAATTCCATTGTTTTAAATTCACTTTTCTTTTTCTTTCTGCAAGACAAAATGTGGTGTGTAGGCAGAGCATGGGAGGCTTGTTTTGTTTTTCTTGATTACTGGGAATCTCACCTTACCAGAAACACTCCTTCCTTTTCTTCCCATGCACAAGTTTCTGGAGGATGAGCTGCTGGCTACTGTCCCTCCTCTGACTTGTCTACACACCCTGGGGAAAGTCAGCAGGTTGAGCGGGTTGCTGGTTTGCAACTGTCTTTCACAGTATGAGGTTGAGAGATGTTAGTATCTAACACCAAAGTGGCCCATTCTGGATGCCACCCTAGAAATGACCAAAAGAATCATATGTTATGTGCTTTGGAAAGTCAGCTGAGAGTGAATCAGGTCCTTCGCTTACGATAAAAGGCAGATTTCCCAGAACTCCTTGTAAACAGCACACCATGGCCTTCTGTCCACATATCTGATTAATGTGATGTGACTTCAGTGGAGTTTGTTTAATGGACCAAGTATCATCCAAAGTTTCTGACTTCTAACTGCATTTGTCATCATATGTTGAGGATGGGTTTTGGGTGCACTGAGAAACCTGTATTTCCTTTCATATATCCCCTGTACCTGTTGCACTTGGATAAAGGCTCGTTTTTTAGACAGAACAGTATTGTAGGAATTACAAGAGCAAAGGTCTGGTCTCAGCTATCAGAGAATCTTATCTTTTACAATGCATTCTTATAATTATAATTCTTATAATGCATTCTGCATGTCACGTCAACTCTCAGCTTCAGTTTATCTGTAAGATAAGGAGGTTGGACTAGGTGATTTACAGTTTTCCAGAACTCTAAAAAATATCACCTTAGCATTTTTGGTTTAATGGAACAACTTCAACTTTTCAGCTTACATACGAAGGCTTTATCTTATTGACTATAAAATGACAGGTCATCATACGTCAGTGATTTCAAGGATATTCTGTTTTGTGAATGTTCAGCAATACTTCTTGACCTTGGAGAGACCCATAAATGTCCAATTCGGATTCTTTGTTAGTTCTTAGAGAAAACAGGCAATATTCAGCCTTGTTTCTTGATAACATATGGAGAAACTATTGTGAAAAGGAAAGGGAAAAGAACCCCATGTCTTACACGGCCGTCCTTTCATTTCCAGTTTCTTCCCCAATAGCTAGGGCTTGGTGCACGAGTTGAACAATTAAACCAAAGCTCTTCCCAGACACTAGAGGACACTCTTCTGGTGCAATCACAGGAACTGGTCTCTTTCCCCTCACATATATATGTGCAGGCCTAAATATGCCATTATACACATATAAATAGAGTAGAATGACTAGTCTTGCCTCTTGCATGGCTGAACAACTTTTTTGTCCTATTGCTGCTACTTTAGAAAAGCATCTTTCAGCTTTTCCACTCATTACTAGTAATGTTACATAAATATGTAGGACTGCTGTCAAATTTGAGAAAATGTGTCAAAGTTTCTTTTATGTGTGAACTGCAAGATCTCAGGACACTTAGAATTTTGTCGCTCTGTGATCACTTGCAAATACTCTTGAATTAATGCTACCTGTATGTTGATGTCTTTGTTGTCATTTAGAAGTGGCTTCACACTGCATAAATATATCCTATGAAATACAAATTAAAAGTATCCCCAACTCAACTCCATGTCCAGGTTCCATAAATAAATGTTTCCTGAGTGATTCTTGTAATAGAGTAGAGGGTGAAGGAGGGGATTTGGGATGGGAAAAAATGATAGTCTCCACAGATAGCAGGCAGTTAATATATTTGGCTTTTGAAAAACTTAGTACATGTGATCATTTGAACATCTGCCTGACCCTCTCCTATGATTCAAAGAGGACCATACAAGTATAATAAACCTTCATCAACTTCCTGATAAACCTACCTCTGCCCATAATATATTTTCTCAACAGAATGTAGATCATTTGTCCTGGAGACAGAGGAGAATCCAATGAGTAGCAGAAGGTAGGCAAGCAGAAGGAAAATGGGATCATTGCATTATCCTCCATGGCTTGGCTTTTGGTAGCCAAGCTTGGTCATACCTGATTCAGACATGGCTGTCTGAGACTCAAATGAACTATTGGGATAGCATGTCAATAATTAATTTTGATGTAAATTTTGACTTTCTCATTCTAGGCCACCAGCAAAAGCAAGGAGAAGGTGTCTGCCAGGCTACACGGTATGTTGGCAGCAATTACTAACCACATAGAAGTTTGGCTGTTTATATTTTGTAATTCTTAGCCCTCTGCCTCATGGCATGGCAGATGTGACACCTTGATAATTTGTGTTTGGACTCTTACTTTTAAAATTACATTAAAATTTTGCCTTTGATCCCAGACATGTTGCTCTCTCCTTCCAGCACCCTCTGGTCCACCCTGGTCTGAGACTTCTTTGCCATAGAACCTTCATATTGAGCTAATTCAAACCAGGGCAGTGGCTAGAACTGGTCTCTGAGAATTTGTTGACACTATAAAGTTATAAAGCGAGGTTTCTTTATCTTTTTTGGGAACATCAGGGGTATTGGATTCCAAACTAGAGCTGATCTGGAAAGCCCTAGGTTGTGAGGAGGTGCTCAGGGGTTTCCTTGGGCATGTGAGAAACTCAGTGGGTTGAACTGTGGGCTCTTCTTACTCACTTTTACCGGGAGCAGTTCTGTGTTTATCTGTCTTATATAATGCAGTTCAGGATGTGATTCTGTTGGGAAGAATAGGATTCTGTCTCTGAAATATGTGATGACCATTGACTCATTTCAATCTTCTACCACCCTTAGAAAGGAAATCCATCTGATGCCCACAGGATCCTGTGCTTTCATTGCACCAACACCTTGGTGGTTGGTCCAGTGCAGCCTAGAGCTCAGATCTTTTTATCTGATATGTATGACTTTTATTTTCCCAGGTGTGTGTGATGGTATCTGTATGGATAATGCCCACTGTAGCCAGTCTTGTCCTCTAGGCACTGAGGGAAATATGGAGTATGCATGCAGGACAAAGAAATGGCACAAAATCACAGATACCTGCCGAACTCTTAATGCCTTCAACATCTTTGAGGTAATGTCCATTCTCTGTCAACATGGATTCTATTTTCAAAATTCTTATTAGCATAAATTAATTATACAAAGGGGTTTCACTGGAATATTTACATATAAGCATTTAATGTGCTTTAATCAAGTTCACTCTTCATATTACTCTTTTTTTTAGCTCCTTCCCCTTCATTTTCTATAGTTTTTAGTGTATTTTAGTGATGCTGTCACATTCACCCATCACCAGCCTCTCCTTTCCCCTTTTCCTCTTCCTCTGGTCCCTCCACCAGTAGTCCATCTTTTATAATCAGCAACTTGAATTCTTCTGTGGACTCTGTGAGCAAAATGGAGGCTCAAATTAGCAATGAATATGGCCCTACATGAAGGAGAGGAAGGGTATGAGGCAGGGTGGTAACAGATTGTTTGTCCATAAATACACAAATACCTAACTATCTTCTCTTAGCTCTGGGTATTTAGAATTTGTGTTTCGTGCCCCTCTCCTTTTCCTGATGTGGAGGAGTCTGCTCATTTAGGTAGAGCTGGAAGAGAAGCCTGGGGTTTTCAGTCAACTTCTCTGTCTTCACCCTTGGCCCTTTCGTTTTTCAAAGCTTTGATACTCAAACTGTCCTTCATGGATCACCATCATCCCTGAAAACTTGTTAGATGTGTGGGACTTGGACCCCACCTCAGACCTGCTAAATCAAAATCTGTACTCTATTGGGATCCTCAATGATTTCTGTTCTCATTAAAGCATGAGAAACAACAGGACCTAAAGTGAAGGACTGAAGTGACCTAAAGTAACCTAAATATGTCGTCAACAAACTAACGTATTTCCATAAATACTTAAGTAATTATATATTTTGCTAATTAAGTTCTAACAAATAAAACCAGGTCAAATGCAATTTCTTCTCCTTTTTCTCCTTTTACGGCAAAGGCTTTACCTTTCTGAGATCCAGCTTCTTTTTCCTTCAGACGACTCCCTGCTTTGGCATTTCTTTTGTCTTAGGAACATTTCCATCCTGTTTTTTTTTTGCATGGTTCTATAGCGCATTTAGTGGTTTTCGAACCAGAAATCTCTGACCAGACTCTAAAAGGTTGCCCAACTCTGACATCTGGGGAGTCTGAGCACAGATGTACACACAGGCCCATGTACCATTTCTTTTAATATTTAAATACTCTAAAACAGTTTGCAAAGTTCTAAATAAAATATATTGTCTGACTTTCATCCCATATTCTATTCTGAACCTCTAGGGAAATGGATAAACCAAGGCCATGAATCCATGACCCTGAGAACAGGTGCTTCTTGGCCACCTCTCAAGGTCTAGGGGTGAGCATCTGCATAGCATGGTGGCATGGCTCATCCATGGCAGGACAAACTTAAGGAAGACACCATGAAGGCCTTGGAAGTAGTCATGGAGTGTTGAGCAGGAAGTTCATGCATCTAGCAGAGGGACATGGACTCTGGGCAGGCATACCGTCTAGGCTCATGGACCAATGTCCCTGTAGAAAGGCAGGCTGGAAGAAGGTCAGAAGGGGACTATGCAAGCAATGGCCAGCAAAAACTTTTGTAAAGGGCCAGGTGGTAAATAGATTAGGCTTTGTGGGTTGCATGGCTTTTGTTACATGTACTCAACTTTGCCTCTATAATGTGGAAATATTCATAGACAATACTTAAACGAGTAAGTCAGCTGAATTTCAATAAAATTTTACTTATAAAAAAACAGGTTGGGCCATAGTTTATCACTTCTACCCTAAAGAATGGGACCTGGAGCCTGAATCTATGGGGAATACTACCTAGCGCAATTTTTAGTCATCCTTTTATCTTGGTGTTCTAGTTGCTTCATTCAAATATAATTTAGAATTTCTGTTTTTAAGATACACTCATGTCTCATGCTTTGACTCTTGGGAAAAGTAAAAATAAGCCTAAATCACCCTAGGAATACACACACACACACACATACACACACACACAGTATACATGCAATATATATATATACACACACAGAGAAAGTGTTTGAAATAGTATATTAAAGATATTTGGGGACAAAGGGAAAAGGAATAGGCAGTCGAGAAGTTAAGACTTAATTTTTGCTTCATACACCATGGTATTGGTCAGTGTACTCCATTTAAGATGTGGCTTTGAAAATGGAAAAACATGCAACATACAATTGTATGATAAAGCTGTCCTAAATTTTAGTAAGGGGGCTTTTATATTTGACACAAAAATAGTATAATAAGAATTTCTTTGTTTTGATCATATTTTAGGAGGAATCATATTCAGTTCAACCATTTGGAGGAGATGTAAATGTAAATGAATATGCTAGAAAATCTGAGACCATAGCAGACAAGTTAATGCAAAAGTGTCCGATGGATTTGTCTTGTGTAATTAAGAACATTCAGCAGTCTCCCCGGATACCAGGAAATATTGCTGTCATTGTGCAGCTCTTACACAACATATCAACAGTGCTAATGACAAATGTTGATGAGGCAAAGATGCAGGTGAGTGGCCTCAAATATTTAGTAGACCATTACCTCCATGGGAAAGGAATTTAGACTAGTTGCAGAATCCTGGGAGTCTTTCCAAAGCTGAAGACAGTGATTTTACCTCAGTATTTCCAAAGTCTAACATAGCAAGTGTTCAATAAATCTTCACTGAAGAAAGAATGAGTGAATAAAAGGAAAGAAATGAACACATTGACTCACCAAACATTCACAGAAAGCACTTACTTGGTACTGTAGTGGACATGAGTCTGTTTTTGTAATGCATATTTTAACTACTGAAAACCTCTAAGAAAATTCTAGGTCCTGCATGGAGAAGGACTTCTTACTTTTATTTGTGAGTTAGAGTAAGTTGCTGAAATAGGAAACAACTGAATGCAAAGAAAATGCCATACCTATGTGCTGTATAAATGTGAAATGGAGCTGGATCCATTTCCCTTATTTTATTTTAATTTTTAAAACACTTTTATTGGCAGTACTGGGGGTTGAACTCAGGGCCTTGTGATTGCTAGGTGGTCACTCTACCACTTCAGCCATGACTCCAGACTCATTTCCTTTACTTTTGATTTTCGAAGAAGGTAGTCAAAAGTAAATCCAGCCCTTTGGGGTCAATTTCCAATTTAGTATGTTCCTGTACAGAGTCCTGCAATACAGTTGAAATCAAAAAGCTGTTAATTACATGATAGTTTCCCTGACAGGTAAGAATATCACTGGTTTTGCCTAGGTATGAAGTAGAAATAATGATGGAATGAGAGTGTAAAGACTTCCCACCGACCTGTCTCACAGGAAGGCATTGCTTGAATGCTAGAAGGGTACAAAGCAAGTCACCTGAGGATCCAAGGAAGAGGGTGGAGTCTGAGATTCTGTGTCTCTAAGAAGTTCTCTGGGAATCCCTACCCTGCTAGTTGGAGGACCACATTTTGTAAAAGTGAATCTTGAATGTATTGTACTTTTAGTACTGAGTACTAATACTAGTGCCACTTTTTCATTGGCAGAGTTACAGCACCATAGCCAACCATGTTCTTAACAGCCAAAGTATTTCAAACTGGACCTTCATTCCTGACAGAAATAGCAGCTGTGTCTTACTTCATTCGGTCAACTCCTTTGCAAGAAAACTATTTGTAAATAAACATCTCCTTGACATATCAGATACCTTCATTCATACCATGGGCACCATCATAACTGGAGACAACACTGGAAAGAATTTCACTTTCTCAATGAGAGTCAATGATATCAGCAACGAAGTCATTGGGAGTGTGTTGCTCAGTAACGATGAACTTTGGAAGGTTCCCTCGCCTTCTCAGGTCATCAGCATTGCATTTCCAACTCTAGGAGCCATCTTGGAAGCCAGTCTTTTGGAAAACGTCGCTGTGAATGGGCTTGTCCTGTCTGTCATTTTACCCAAGGAGCTTAAAAGAGTCTCCCTGATTTTTGAGAAGATCATCAAGTCAGAGGAGAGAAAGACACGGTGTGTTGGCTGGCACTCTCTGGAGAGCAGATGGGAGCAGCAGGCCTGTAAAATGATTCAAGAAAACTCCCAGCAAGCTGTTTGCCAATGTTGGCCAAACAAGTTGTTCACCTCTTTTTCTATTCTTATGGCACCCCACACCTTGGAGAACCCAATTCTGATGTACATCACATACATAGGCCTGGGCATTTCGATTTGCAGCTTGATCATTTGCTTGTCCATTGAAGCCTTGGTCTGGGGTCAAGTGACAAAGACAGAGATCTCATATTTGCGTCACCTGTGCATTGCTAACATTGCAGTCACCTTGCTGTTGGCTGATGTGTGGTTCATTGTGGCTTCCTTTCTTAGTGGTCCAGTGCTACACCACAATGGATGTGTGGCAGCAACATTTTTTGTTCACTTCTTTTACCTTTCTGTGTTTTTCTGGATGCTTGCCAAGGCACTCCTCATCCTCTATGGCATTCTGATTGTTTTCCACACATTGCCCAAGTCAGTCCTGGTGGCATCTCTCTTTTCAGTGGGCTACGGGTGTCCTTTGGTCATTGCTGTTATCACTGTTGCTGTCACTGAGCCTGGTAATGGCTACATACGGATTGAGGCCTGCTGGCTTAACTGGGACATGACAAAGGCCCTCTTGGCTTTTGTGGTTCCAGCTCTGGCCATTGTGGTAGTAAACCTGATCACAGTCACACTGGTGATCATCAAGACCCAGCGAGCTGCCATTGGCATCTCCATGTTCCAGGAAGTGAGAGCCATTGTGAGAATCAGTAAGAATATAGCCATCCTTACTCCAATGCTGGGGCTGACCTGGGGATTCGGAATAGCCACTATCCTTGATGGCAGCTCCCTGGTCTTCCACATTATCTTCTCCCTGCTCAATGCATTCCAGGTAAGTCCAGATGCTCTGATCAAGTTCAAAGTGAGAGAATATATGAACAGATTTTGTGATCAGGACATTGTGGCATCAGATTTCTTTACAAAATACAATGAAGAACATATTGAGTAAGAAAATAAGCTTCTGTTGCAGAAAGGCACAGATTTGAATTCTGTCTCTCTCATTTGCTAATGTGTAGCATCTTGGAATATTTAACGTTCCAAGCATATTTTCCTCATACATAAAATGGGTGCAATACTGCCTAATTTATAGAGGTGTTTGGGAAAGAAAATGGTGAATGGGAACATGTCAAGTACTAAAATGATCCGAAGGTCACAAACATCCTTTTTTCCCATTTGTGTTTTTGTTGTGCTGGGTGTGAAGACATTGTAGCATTTACAAATGTTCTTACAATGTATCAAATATATCATACTTGAATTCACCCCCTCCACTTCTCTCTCCCACGCCCTCCTCCCCTCATTCCCAGAACAGTTTCAACAGGTATCATTTTTGCATTTACATATATGTGTACACCTTGTTTGCACCATACTCATCCTCCTACCCCTTTCCCTGCCACCTTCCCCCTCCCACCCGTGCCAACCGCTCTCCCCTGGAACCTGTTCCGTTCCCTTGTTCTCCGATTTTGTAGAACAAAAAACATAAAAGATAAAACAAAAGATATGACATTTTGCTAGTTCGAGATAAAGATAGCTACACAGGAACTTTCCTTGTATTGTTCCCATGCAAATGTGTATTACAGCTCCAAGTAATTCACCTCTTCCAGTCCTCTTTACTCCTCCTTAGTCTGCTTCCTATGGTGGCCCCGAGCACATCAACCTCATTCAAGTTTTCGGTTTCCTTTCCTTGTCCTATCCCTCCCTTGCACAGCCTCCCCTGAGTGTGACTGGCATCCCATAATACTGCTGCATACATTGTAGGTCTAAGATCTGCCTATGAGGGAGAACATGTGATTTTGTCTTCGGAGCCTGGCTAACTTCAATTATGATGATGTTCTCCAATTCCATTCATTTACCTGTGAATGACAAAATTTCATTCTTTTTTGTGGCTGAGTAAAATTCCACTGTGTGCAAATACCACATTTTCTTGATCCATTCATCAGTAATGGGGCATTTTGGCTGTTTCCATAGCTTGGCTATTGTGAACAGTGCTGCAATAAACATGGGTGTACAGGTGTCTTTGCTGTAACCTGACTCATTCCTTCGTGTATATCCCTAGGAGAGATATTGCTGGATAATATGGCAGATCTATTTCTAGTTTTTTAAGGAGCTTCTGTACTGTTTTCCATAGTGGTTGTATTAGCTTACATTCCCACCAGCAGTGTATAAGGGTTCCTGTTTCCACACTTTCTCACCAACATTTTTTGTTGGTGGTGTTTTTGATGATGGCTATTCTAACAGGGGTAAGGTGGAATCTTAGTGTGATTTCGATTTGCATTTCCTTTATGGCCAGGGATGGTGAGCATTTTTTCATGTGTTTTTTGGCCATTTGGATTTCTTCCTTTGAAAAAGTTCTGTTTAGTTCAGTTGCCTATTTCCTTATTAGGTCACTGATTTTCGGGAGTTTAGTTTTTTTGAGCGCCCTGTATGTTCTAGTTATCATTCCCTTGTCTGATGCATAGCTAGCAAAGATTTTCTCCCATTCTGTGGGTGGCCTCTTTTATTTAGAGACTGTTTCTTTTGTTGTGCAGCTTTTTAATTTCATGAAGTCCCATTTGTTGATCCTTTCTCTTAGTTGCTAAGCTGCTTGCGTTCTACTGAGGAAGTCCTTGCCTATACCTATTGCTTCCATTATATTCCCTGCTTTTTCCTCTACTAGCTTCAAGGTTTCAGGTCTGATATTAAGGTCCTTAATCCACTTTGACTGATACTTGTATAGGGTGACAAACATGGATCTAGTTTCAGTTTTCTGCAGGCAGATAACCACTTTTCCCAGCAACATTTATTGAAGAGGCTGTCTTTTCTCCATCATGTTTTTGGCACCTTTGTCAAAAATTAGGTGAGCGTAGCTCTGTGGATTCACATCTGGGTCTTCTGTCTGTTTTTGTGCCAGTACCATGCTGTTTTTATTGCTATTGCTTTGTAATATAGTTTGAAGTCGGTATTATGATACCTCCAGCATTGCTCTTTTTGCTCAGTATTGCCTTGGCTATTTGTGGTCTTTTGTGTTTCCAAATGAACTTTAGGGTTGATTTTTCAATCCTTGTGGTGGGTGTCATTGGGATTTTGATGGGAATTGCATTGAACATGTAGATTGCTTTTGGTGGTATAGCCATTTTTACTATTTTGATTCTGCCAATCCATGAGCATGGGAGATCTTTCCATCTTCTGTAGTCTTCTTTGATTTCTTTCTTCAGTGGTTTGTAGTTTTCCTTGTAGAGGTCCTTTACATCCTTTATTAAGTTTATTCCTAGGTATTTGATTTTTTTTGAGACTATTATAATAGAATTGTACTATATTCCTTTTCAATCTGTTCATTATTGGTGTATAGAAAGGCTACTGATTTTTGTAAGTCCATTGTGTATCCTGCTACTTTGCTGAAGCTGTTTATGGTGTCTAGGAGTTTTTGGTGAAGTTTTTTTTATCTTTTAGGTATAAGATTATGTTACCTATGAATACAGATAGCTTAACTTCTTTACCTATTTGTATTCTTTTTATTCCTTCTTCCTGCCTTATTGCTCTGCCTAGGAATTGCAAGACTATGTTGAATAGGAGTGGAGATAGTGGGCACCCTTGTCTTGTTCCTGATTTTAGGGGAAATGGTTTCAGTTTTCCCTGTTAAGTTGAACAATCATCCTTCTAATAGTATGTAGAAACTAAGGTATAACACCTCCTCCAAACTAGAGTTATAACTGGAGGTGTTAAAATTTTACATCTACCATATTTCCTGTCACTTAGAATTTTTAGTTATCATCGGAAACATTATTTTAACAAAGCAAGCTATATAGAAAGGGAATCTCGCTTGTGTGTGTGTGACTAAACAAGGTCATGGTTTTGTGCCTATGCTTGACAAATTTTACATAATATAGAAGTTAAAAACCAGTGTATATTATTACAGAACTGGATTTCTCACTTAAAACTATGCTCTAGAATTTTACCAGGTTACAATATCTCTTTAAAGTCTGTGTAATATTCAATATTTAATACTTTCCTTCTTGACTGGAATTTTGTTTTAGTGTACGAATGAGTCAGCATTTTTAGATATTGCATATTAAATATCTAGACAGCAATACCTGGAAAGAAAGTTTTTATTTTTCTAAGAGCTCTAAACTTTTTCTTTCTTTTCTGAGTGTAAACAATAGCCAGTGAAGTTGTTTCCAAATGTTTTATCTAATTGATGACAGAAACTTTAAATCAAGTCTCTACTCATTTTTCTCTTTCAAAATTTAAATATAAATGATTTCATTTTACCACAAACACTTCGATGCCTTGGAGAAAAATGTTATCATCAGGGCCTGTCTCACACTTTTAATCTCTGATGTTTTTTAAATTTCTGAAGAAAGTATTAATTGTATTCTACACTTATGTAGCTGTTAGTAATTATTAATTCTTTCCATGTATGCAAAGCTAGCTATTGATAGAAGTGAGGGAAAAACTCAGATTTCTTAAATGTCAGCTCGGCATATCCCATGTCTATTCTTCATAAACACTGCCATTCCATAGCACTTTCCTTTGCTTGTCTCCCTCAGGATCATTTGATCTGTGACTCTTATATTGGTCTAGGCTGTGAGCACTTATAATTTGGTATCATGAGGACTTTCACCTGTCACAATATAATCAACTTGAAATTTCAGCTCACTTTCTGTCTTTACTCCTGACAAGTAGTGTGGAGCCCACTGCCTCAGTGCCCATGAGGCAGTGGGAAACAGGGAGAAGCTGTGGATGGAGGCTAGACGCTGGGGAGGGCACATTGTGCTGGCTTATTGGTATTTTCAGTAATTTAGTGAACTGTTTATAAATACAGTTATCAGTAAAATTAAATTACATAGACTTAATAGGAAGTAAATTCAATTAAAAACAAAGGGCATATATCTTCAAAATCAATCACTTCTAAATTATATGTCTACATTTTACTGTGCTTTTAAAGTTATTTGGGTCTATATTACCTGTCTGGTGGAAATAGTGAATAAGGACCTGTTACAGTCCATCTCTTTCTAAATCCATATTCAGCTATATTGTATTGCTAGATTTATTCAGTCCTGGTGGTTGAATTAACCATAGAGATGGGCAAATGCTACAAATTAGGTGAGTTGTTTATTATCATTTACCAGCATGCTGCTGTATCAAGGCATCATCTGGTCTCGCTGCGAGGGAGGAGACAGAGAGGAGCGATGGATCCACTGAAGCTAGAGACATACCCAACTGGGGGAAAAGAATTAGCAAGGGAGTCTTAGAATGAGAAGAGATGAGGGACAGTGTAGGCTGATGGAGCAAGAGAAGACAACATTTGAATCACTCTGGGAGGCCCAGAAGATGAAGGAGGAAAACCTAAGAATTTCTTGATTCTAGCCCTATGGGAGTATCCACTGATTTAAAAGCAAACTATCACCTTCACTATGGAAGTGTTATAATGGAGTCAGTTGCTGCCTTGGATACCTACCATAACTTCTGGTTGGTATCATCTCTTGTATTTACTGATGTAAGTGTGGGCTTGGTGAAATTTTGGGGACTCCTTATTGCTGTTCTAGTAGAAAAAAATATATAGCAAATATGTTAAAACCTGGGAGGACACCTTGTGGTTTACCTGCTCAAACTGTGGATTATCTACTAAAAGAAATGCAAAGAGACTGCTACTTGTATATTAGGTATATTTTGTTATTCCTTTCTCCGCCAGACACTGAATTTTATGAATAATCTTTTATTATCCAGATCTTCTGAACGATATTTTGTGTAGCCTCCCCAAGGTGTCATAAACCAATGAAAAGTGGTTTTACGGTATATTTCCCTGTTACATAATTATTGCTGTATAGATGCAAGCTGCATAATAAGTTATATATCAGGGCTGGAAATGTAGTTCACTAGTACAGTGCTTGGCTAGCATGAATGGAACCCAGTGTACATCAATACCCAATACCACAAAGAATCAGCTATATGAAGTTATTAAACACATGCACGTTCAAACACATACATGCCATATTTATTATTTTGCTCCAATCATTATGATAAATATTGCAGATACAAATATAAAGTCAACTCTAAAGAACTAAAAATCTTATGAGGAGAGAATTTCTCTTACCCTTTAGCCCCACCCCCCCCAAAATGCAGATTTTATGGAGGAACATGCTAGAATTTTGCTTCCCAGATCTTTAAATAATTTAATTTCTGGGCCAATTTCATCTAGATTCCAACATAAAATGTATTCCCCAGTACCCAAACCAGGTTGGAATGTATTTGTTCCCAGCATCTTTATAAGAATGATACTTTATAACCTTGTGCCAAGATGACATTTTCTTAATAGAAATAATGGTAGGCTAACAGTGACACGCCCAGGAAAATATGATTGAAACACCCCCAAAAACAAAAAATAAAAAGCTACATGTACAGCAAAGCTTTCAGTGTTTGTCAGACTGTGTGAGTGGAAGGGTGTGTTTCATTGTTGTTTGGGGAGTGAATGAGCTGAATGGCTCTGCTCTGGTCCCTGTAAAGTTCTCCATCTCTTAGCTGAATTTTTACCAAATTACAGTAGATTTGATGTTCTCATCAGTGACAGTTGTGTTAAACTTATAAGCTTTAATAGGCTTCTGGCTTGGTTTATATTCATTTATGCAACCAGAGCAACTTAACAAGGGGCTGCCTAAATAAAAGGCCACCATCACAGTTCTCTTTTTTTTTTGTCCATGATCCAAATAATTGAACACTCAATAAAACTTTTTTCTAACGATTGTTGCTATCACATTTTGAAAGTTGACCTTCAATTTTCAGAAAAGTTGGACTATTCCATACCTTCCTCCCTCCAAGGTGATTTTGTGCCAACATATGTGGGAAAAAATTAAAAACTCAAATAGACAGAGGAACAATAAGATTTTGACTTTATGAGATCTTTCTTTGCATGGAAGATAAAAGATAATTATTTCTTTTTCTATTATCCTATGTGGAGGTGGAGCACCTTCTATATGTTTAGGAATTCAATCCATTTCATGGTTTGTAAATTTTTAGCCAATGCATTGATTTGATATTTTTGTGTATAAGTTCTATAATTTTTTTTGTTATAAATGGGAGAAAGAAGTTGAGGGTATTATGGGCAGCTGAGCATACGTTTTTGCTCTTTGCTGTGGAATGTTCTTTCATTACCTATTTTTCAGGGTCTACAAGACAGATGAGCATTGCCTTACAACTTCTTTGGCTCTTTTTTAGATCATTATATTCTGAGATGAACAACTCCTGGTAAATACAAAATGTTTTCATTTTGCTCAACTTAAAAAGAAGTTTCCAAAGTATTTCTGCATGAAGCAGAGACCTTATTCTGTTTGGTTTACTGCTTGGTATCCCAAGCATTTTGAACAGTGGCCAGGACATGGAAGACAATTGATGTTCATTGAATGAATGAATCTAGGTGTTGTGACCTTAAGTGGGAAATTTTAAAAAACTGAATGAAATTGTTTTCCTTTTGTCAAAATAGCAACTGAATGATGAATATTGGAATTTGTTATTGTTATCATCATTAATTTGTAAATGGCTCTTTATCCCCTCCCCTCTACTTTTCACAGGGTTTCTTCATCTTGGTGTTTGGAACAATCTTGGACCCAAAGGTACTGTATGTAAATTGTTTTTTCCCCTGCATTATCAGTACTTGTCCAGGAAATCTTCACTAGTGAATGCCACTTATTGGGTCTTTCACCTAATTATTAGTGCAGATGTATGAACTGAGTGTCCCTGCTCTTTGTAACATGATACCTACATCTTTCAAGCTCTTTTGGGGCTATGTGTTTTATGGACATTAATTCTAAACCTTAAAACAATCTTGGATATTATTATATTTCAGTTTTACAGATGAGAAACTGAAACTCAGAGCGATTAAGTAGCTTGCTCAAGATCTCTACAGACACATAATTTGATTTGTTGAAGCAGAAATGGGATTTATTAAATTTCACAATATCATCTTTTAGGAGGGTTTCTTCCTTGGGTTGGAGGTCATATTCCAGGAATACTTTCCAGTATGACGCAGAAGTCTTCTATGAGGGGTACAATTATCCCTGCCTTTTTCTAGGCACAGATAGCACAGCTTAACAAGCTAATGTTAGGCAGAGGATGCTTAAACTAGAATTGCTATTACTGCTGCTTTGGGAGATCACCTCCAATCCTGCCTGTTGGGACTCACTGGCATCTGCTGTTTTGCATCATTGAGTATGATTGTCTGAGCCCAAGTCACATGGCAATATCTTGGCTGCGAGACTGGTTGGAGAAGTAAGTTCCTACTCCTACCTTGAAGAGTAGTAGACTACAGGAAGGGAATTCTCCAAATACAGACAAGTGTTGATTGGCTGTAGTTGGTAAAAATGAGTAAAAACTAAATGAACAGAACATCAAGTATTTACTCAGAGATAGACCTCTTTTCATTGTATCATAAATCTTCCTGGAATAAGCAAATTAAACAACCCTCTCAGGTGTAGATGCAAACACTCTGTCACATAAATTAATTTTTAAAAATGAAAATGGACATTACCAAAACCAAAAGCAAAGTAAATATCCATCCTTACTTCAGAGTTGTAAAAAAGCTATCAATGCAATTTTATTAAGTTAATATCAAAGGTTTGTGAAAGAGGAATTTCACAATGGCTCTTTCATTGTCTCACAAGGGTACTACATTAACCTAGTAAAAATTATTCAGAGTTGAAAGAGTATTAGTCTCAATATTTCTATATATAGATAGTCCTCAACTTACAAAGTCTTGACTTATAATATTTTAACTTTATGATGCTTCAAAAACAATACATATAAAGTAGAAACTTTATTTCAAAATTTGAATTTGGACCTTTTCCTGGTGTAGTAACATGCAGTGTGATACTCTCTTAGCAGGCTGTGTGGTAGCAGCAAGCCACAGCTCAGAGTCAGCCTCATGATTACAATGCTGAAAACCAATACTCTACTGAGTTGCTAAGCTATAATGTTCAGTAGATTAGGTGTATTAAATGTAATTCTGACTTTGGTATTTGCAACTTACCATGGGTGCATTAGGACACAACCCCATCATTAGTCAAGGATCCTCAAGTGGAATGCACAATTAAAAATACATTCCTTGACTTCACTGGATTATGTACAGAACAAATTCAACTTTATAGGTGACAACACAAAGAAAGCATTTAAGATATCACACAATTTCATCCCATGGGGTTGTGTTACTTGTGTTACCTTAACCAGTATTTGCAGCCAAAGCAGCAAGTTATGAAACATAGAATTAAACAAAAATGATGAGAACAAAAAAATTTAAGTAGAAACTCCAGTATTTCTTCAAAGTTCCAAAAGACCTTTGAGTGCACAGGCTCCTGATCCCAGGAGAGTTCCTCCTCCTTTGAAGCTTGTGGGTGACAAAGAAAGTGCATTTTCAGGGAAGGGTGAAGTCCCCATGAGCAGGAGGGCTTTGGCATACATTAATTTGAAGACAGACTTATATAAGGTCTTGGACAGTGAGCAACATCTGCAAAGCAGCGGGGATAAAGAGAGGAAATGTTTGTATTAAACAGGAGAGACTGTGGGAAGAAGTCAGGGTCAGGAATTCAAATTCTGGTTGCTTTTCTTTGTAGTTGATAAACTTTGGATGTCACTCTTGGGGCAAAATGGGGATAACAATGTTTACTTTGTAGTGTTGATTTCTGGGTAAAATGAGATGACAGATGTGAAAAGCACTTTAAGGCTATACAACATATAGTTGTTACTTATTATTTTTATTTCCTTGGATTCATGGAATTTTGCTATGTTGTGCAGTACTTTTTTTCCTTAAGCAAAGGTTTCAATAATTAATAAACTGTGGGAAGTGATGAACTATTTTAGTGCTCTGAAAGAGAATGCGAAAGCTATGATTGGAATCCTCAAGCTTGTGGCAAGCTGTGCTTCTTAACCATTGGGTTCATGTTTAAGACCCTGGACATGAGTCTCCTCTGATGACTCCACCTCGCCTGTGTCTCCCCATCTCCTCATCTTTTTCCAGACCAATCTACCTGGTTATGGCCCCCCATATCACGGCTTCAGGACCAAGCTGGAAACTTACTCTCTTGCCACAATATTTATCAGGTCCAGACACATATGTCAACTTCTTGTAATCTTTTAATTCTTAACTCCTTTTGTTAAATATCTAGATAAGAGAAGCCTTAAAGGGTCGAGTAGCGTCTGTCAGATGGATCTCCAGAATATCAGAGGTAAAGCTCTCATACTCAGTTTTGCATTTTTGTTTGATGAATTAACAACAATGCTTTAAACAATCACTGTAACACTTTGTGACAGATTTTTCCTGAGCCAGTGCCTCTCTAAGCTGTTCATATACTTTCTGGAGTATGGGAACCACATACAAAAAGATAAAAGTAGGGTTAAATATATTTACAGGTGAGTAACAAGGTTGGAGGTGTTGATCTCAAACCATGAAGTAGGAAAGCAGGTTGTAAAAGAGAAGTGAAAGGAGGTGAGGTGTCTCAGGTCCCATAACAGCCTAGTTGTTCTCTATGCCCCTAGTCACTGGACATCCAAAGTGTTCCAAGGAAACACATTCTCACCCTACACAAAGAAATTACTAATAGCGTGATTTTTAAGAAGGGCCAGTTGCCATGTTTACTTGAGTTACATAGGCTTACAGACAATTCACGGCTGTAGCAGAGAAGCTGCAGTCATTGTGTAGGAAGCTGGACTATGATGTTCCCTTTAGCTTATCTATTCCTTTAACTTAAAAACCATTTATCATAAAACAAAACCGTTCTGAGTAAGGGAGGAATTGGAAATTTTTATATGGCAGCAAAATGGGGTTAATGTTGACCTAAGGAATGTACTCAACAAAAGAAAAGGTGATACAGAGTTTTCCTTTATGGCTGGTGCTGCAGATCTGCATGGAGTGGGTTTTGGGTCCTTCTGGGGCTGGGCACCTGTGGCCCTGAATAGCAGCATTGCCTTTCTCCATGGGTTTTGTATTCCATTGTCCTTCCTCTGATTTTTTTTAGCTCCCTCTTATCTTCTTTTCTTTTTCTTCCCTTTCTTTTGCTAGTGTTTTTGCCTTATTCTTACCAAAGCTCTGATCTTTTTCTCAGTGTTTGGTCTTCCATAGCTGGGCGATTGCTGATTTTTATCTATTCCTTCCAGCTTTAAAAATGCCAAATTTACTAAAGGTAGACATTGATCAGATGTCACACATCAGAATCAACTGGTAAGCTTAAAAAAATGAAGTTTGCCAGGGATATTGGTCTGAAGTGTGGTTTGGGTTTGAGGAATTTTAAAAGCTTCCCAGGTGATTCTAATGTACAGTCAAGATTGGGAGCCATTCATCTAAAACCTTCCAAAGGATCCTGGCTTCCAACCAGCATGCCTGATTTAAATATTCCCTACTGCTACTCTTTTGTCCTCCTTGAACTCTTAGGAGAGATGCTTGAATCTCCCAACTCCTTCTAAGTTAGCATGGCTCATTTCCTTAGGTGTTTTCAGTATTGAATGATTCAGACCACCATAGGGAAATTATGTCCATCAATGCCAAAGAAAAATAGTCATTTTGCCCATTTCTCTTTGGTTCTTACATGAATAAATTAGAATGACACTCAGCACTTTATTATCAGTTGTAGATTATCTGCATCAATGGTTTTCAATGCTGGTTACACCTTAGAAACTCCTAGGGAGCTTTTTAAAAAATAGCATTGTCTAGGACACACTCAAGAAAAATTAAATCAGAGACTCTTGGGGTGAGGATAGAGCTTAAACTTTTATTTTAGCCTCTGCAGTGATTCTAACCATGTGGCTAGGGTTAAGAACCATGGGTCTAAGTACTACATACATTTATTCTTCTCCAGGCAATCCTTCCTTCATTCTGCTCACTAGCCTAACTGTTGTCTGCCATTGACTTTATTTCTCCAAGGATAGAAATAGACATATTATCTGTCTATGCTCCCTAGGTAGCAATCTTCTACAGTCCATATTTAACTTATCCTTTATGGTACCTGACTGGAAGGGTCAGTTCCACCTCTCCAAACCTGGGATAATAAATGTAGCTGTGCTCATTTTACCTCTGATGAGATGAATTAGTCTGTTTTCATGGGGTAAAAAGTATATATCCAAAACATACTGAAAAGATATCCTTTGGACACATGTATATCACAAGGGGATGATTTCAAGGTTAAGGTTTTAGCAGACCAGCTGGTAAGGAGCTGTTTGACTACCAGGAGCCATTCAGTGTCACTCAGCTGTCTTCTCTTCTTTCTCCATTCATACCCCAAGCAAAGTAATCCCTCAGGAGAGAGGTCTAGGCCAGGACATGGAAGAGAAGAACTTCTCACACCAGCCTGTTTCTGTATTGTTAGCCATTCTAATATAAAGAGGAGAAGAAAGGGATGAAGTTAAAGATAAAAAAAATTGCTGTGGATCACAGTTCTGTGTGTGTTTTTAGTCATTATGATAATTGCAAACAGGCTAGTAAAAATAAGTGCAATTATACTTTGTCTTCAGCAGGACCTCGCTTCTGAATTCTCTTGTCATCCCACCAAAGGGCCAAGCTAACAACCCAGGCTGCATTCCTAACTTGAGAGGTGAGTATAAACAATAGGGTTTCCATGTATGTGTCATATATGGCATTACTATAATTTTATTATAATTAGAAATACTTCTTTCTTGATTGAAAAGGTTCTCCTATATAATCTATTCTTACCTCACTGTGTTAGAAATGTACCCACATTTCTAATTTACTTGGGCTACTGAATGTTGTTTTTGCTATCTCTGCAAAATAATCAGGCGTGTCTGAGAAGCCATATGGATTAGCCTAGGTGGCTCAATCTCTTGAGCAAAGTTGCCCCTCTACTTAACTGTTCCCTCTTCTTCATCTCCTCTCTAGTCTCACATCCCCAGGACATCTTATGTCAGCAATATCTCCAAATTTCCTATTATGGCCCCTCACGTTTCTCTAGTCTTAAAAGATCAAGAAATTTTGATAAACAATATTTGTGAGAGGCTTTTGATGGTAATGTAGGTGTTTATTTGCACTTGAGTTAGTTTCTGTGACACAGATAAGAGACATATAGACAAAAGAGTCATAGAAGGGGACCACAGGAGTAACAAACTCAGAACCATAGATAGAGAGAGTGACATGGTGACCCAGGGTTGGAAGAGAGCCAATGAGATCCACAGACATGTACAGGCACAGCTCTTCTAATCCTATGTCTTGATGTCCCTGTAGGTCTAGAGAGAGAACAGACATGGAGACAGAAGAACACTCATGGCGACAGCCACATCCACTGGGAGACTCACAGAGACAGAGAGATGAAGGGAGGTGCTAAGAGGTGTATGGGGATGGGGTTCAGAGAAATGTTGAATGAAGCAGGGGGAATGACATTTGCACAGACCAGGATTCACAAGAGAAACAGACAGAGATGCAGAGAGGGAAAGAGGTACTCAAGTATGTAGAAAAAGCCTCCCAACCCTCACCCCAAACATCCAGCCTCCAGCAGCCTTTGTGACTATTTGCAGCAGTCTAGGATCTTGTACAGAAAAATGGTCTTATCGCACAGGAGGAGTAGGGTAAGGGAAGGAAACCTAAAACTTGAATGTGGCTGATATGCTTACTGTATAGAAGTGAATAAAGTAATCTTAAACTGGCAGAGGCCACTATGGGAAGGGGACTAGGAAGTAGTGAAGAAGTCTGGTAGAGATGAGCCAATATGGGTTGTAATACACATATGGATGGTAACAACACTAGGAATCTCTCTGTATAGCTATCTTTATCTCAAACTAACAAAACCACCATGTTTTTCTTATTATCTCTTATGTTTTCTCTTCAACAAAATGTGAGAACAAGAGGGTGGAATAGGTTCTACTTGCAAGGGGCAGGGGAGGTGACTCAAATAATGTATATACGTGTAAGTAAATGTAAAAAATGACAAAATAAAAAATAGGTCTTTTCTGAGAGGAGTTACACTTAAAGAGAAGTGGTCCAACTAACAAGGTTTGTAACTCAGCATCTATAAACAATGGATCAAGCCTGAGTTCCAGAGTTGCTTATGAAGACTGTCCATCTGCCAGTGGGGCTCCACAAAGGGGCTTATAATACAATTGTGAAACCTTTGGATCATGCAACTTGTGTACTGAAGCTGTGATTTTCTGTTCTTGACAAGGTTCTGTATTCCAGGAATGGCAGAGCCCAGAGAAGAATGTGCTTATTCCTGTCTTCCTGCCCCTGGAGACTGTGAAGGAAGCCTCAAACACTATGAAGCTGATGAAAGAGGAGATGAAGAATGGAAAGGATCAAAGACCTTTCTGCCAAGCTGTTCTGTGCTACTAAGCATCTCTTGCCTATCAGTTGCAAATATGCATACACTACACTGGGCATCCACAAGGGAACACAAAGACAAATTAGGCCACAGCAGGACCATGGTCTTATCAGTCTCCATCTTCATGTTGTTGGGTCACATTTATCCTGAGGAAGAAAGTACTGGCTTATCTTGGCAAGGGTGGCTCGCCTGCCACCTAGTTAGATTCTGTGGGTTGCTGAAGAAAGGGAACTCATGAATAGTCACCAACAGTTGGGCTGACTCTAAGTAGGTCACTGCTGGTTTGTTTTGTAAAAGGACTCTAACCGCCACTCAAAGTTAAGTTGATTAGATGGTCAGCCTGACTTGCAACTCTTTTGGCCATGAGCCATGTGAAAATTGGAACTCTTGAACCAGAAAAGATGCCTATTTTAATTTAAGGAGATGGAAGCTTGGAGCTGCGAGTCACAGCTAATCAAGGCTGAGCCAGAGGTAGAAACATAATTCTGCTGGCTCCCAGCTTTTGGCTTTCTCTTCTGGACCATGTAGCCACGGAAAGACTTTCTGCCCACACTTTCTGTCACCAACAATATGTGCTTTTTGAAGTCTGGGGTTGGGGAAGAGGAAATACCATATTTCGAGTACAGAGCTGCTCATTTTCTTAACTTTGTATCTAAATAAACTGAACATTCAAACAAGATATCACCTTCAAGAGAACAATGCTGTGGGTATAAGCCCTTTGAAGAGCAAGCTCATAGACAGCTGCAGCAAAAGAAAACTAGGGAATAAACACAGAGGGGCTGTGGATGGCCCCTAACCTTCCTACCAAGGCCAGTATTATTGATGCTACATTGCAAATGGGGAAGTGAGGCTCGCTTTGTGAATGAGTAGGGTCTTGCTTTCTCTTTTTATTTATTTGTTTGTTTTTACTACAAGGAAGGGTAGTAAAAGAGTAGCGGTTCTCTTCTTGTTTTTTTTTTTTTTTTTACTACTTCCTCTAAGTAGGTAAGTTTGAGAAGGCAAAGGTATAATAAAGAAATAATCAGAATATAGGAAAAAATGCACCAACCTGAAGAAAGAGTTACTTTGAAGTGGCATTGTTCATGAATGCTCATGAGTGCTCATGAGTGCTCATGAGTGCTCATGAATGCTCATGAATGCTCATGTTAGGACAGCAACAGCCTCCTTTTCAAGAGATCAGAAAGTGGTTTTAGTTTGCCATTTTCCAATATTTCCCTAGGGACTCTTTTTTTTTTCTTTTATTCATATGTGCATACAATGTTTGGGTCATTTATCCCCCTTTCCCCCCGCCCCCTCCCTTACCTACTCCACTCCCTCCCCCCCTCCCCGTACCCCCTCGCTACCAGGCAGAAACTATTTTGCCCCTAGGGACTCTTCAAGAGAAAGGTGGGATAGTCATAGTCCTGGTTTCCTCCATGTAGAGATTTAGGTGTGAAGAAATGTCAGCTGCCCAGAGTCAATATGTTGAAGTAAGGATGGACTCTCATGAAGCCAAATAATTGGAAGGCTGTAAATCTGGATGAACTTTAGAAAAGAGTAAGTCCATTTGTTTCATTTTACAAATGAGAACTCTGGGCATAGAGTGAAGGAGGGGATTCCTTGAACTGTGTTATGCATTGAGCAGTCACATCTGGTATGAAAGCATTCTCTACTCAAGTGTTTCCACTCCCTGAGATAGGATGGTGGGAAAGATGTTCACTCACAATAAACCAAGGAACACCCATGGATGTCAACAGAGGAGCTCTGGAACTATTTGGGAATACCTTGAAGAAGCTGAGCCCTGTTTCCTGAAGTCCCAAAACTACTCTGCAGCATCTTGAATGATGTCAAGGAACTGCACAGATTAGGTTAATTCTGGATGACCCTGGCACACACTTCACAAAGGAAGTGACTTGAACAGGTGGACTAAGGAGAAACTGGTGCTAATGGGTCTAAGGCAGATTCTTGAGTAGAATACTTAATAAACGGCTCTCCTTGGGAAAGTCATTTAAATTCCTCAGACTTTGCTTGTCTCATCTATAAATTGAGGACAATAGAGCCGACCTCACAGGATTAAATTACTAAATGTAGGTAAAGTATTTAGAATAGTATTGGGAAATAATAATTACTCATTAAAATGTTAATTTTTAAATTGGAATATCTGTGAACACATGCACACAAAAAAAGACACACATAAACACAGGCATGTGTGAGTTTGGATGTAGGTACCCTCATGCGAATGAGTTAATTGACTTCTAAATAAAAGAACTAAGCTTTTGATTTGGTCTGTTCAACATTAGGGTTATCAGTCAGCAAAATCTGCTGAGCTTACCATCAAATGAACCTTGTAGCTCATGGTTCCCTACTTAGGAAGAAAGAATATACATCACTGGGCTCTACTCACTGAACATGGTGTCCAAACTCAGTTTTACTTTCTACCTTCTCTTACAAGTCTTCCCTTCTCGTCCAACCAGAAGTGCTGTTTCCAGTTTCTTAGAGTATTTATTATCGGCGCCACTTATTTTACGTTAGTATTTATTGTGTTATATTGTTTGTTTACCTTGGTCTTTTTTGTGCATGTTTTCTTTCCCAGATAAGTTTGTAAACCATTATGAACGAGGTTACTCACTGAGTGTCTTACTTTTGCTCATAGGGCAAAGCAAGGTGTCTTAACAGAAGAATATGTTCAATACATATGTTCAATAAAGTTCTTTGATTACACAACTGCTTGTTACTGGTTTTTCCAAATTCCAAATGAGCCAATGCTTCACGAGTGACCTAAATGGAACTGACCCATTTCTACGAACATTGCCTCAGTGACCTTCATTGCTACAAATTGTGTAACAAAACCGCCTCTCACTTATTTCTCCTTATTGTCAGCGTTTTCCCTGGTAACATCTAAGTGGACATTTGCATTAGCTCTTTGGGGAAGGAAGGTCTGTAAATAGAATATACCAAAATAAGAATGTGAGGGACTATGTGGTGGGGATAAGAACAATTCAAACTGGCTACCCTGTCCTAAGTCCTGTCATGTGAAGTTCTCCATAGATGTTGAATGTGCCTTCAGGATCTGAATTACCTGCAGCCACCAACAGGATCAATGACAGCTCTTCATCCTAGTCATTAAAAAAAAATGAAACAAACATCTTTTTGGTGCCAAGCCAGAGATTACTGACCACTTTCTCAGCCAGTTTTCTCCAAGTTCAACATTGGTACGGGCAAAATGCAATAATAACCTGTTAAAATCATCCACAGTTGTGGCACAGCTTTGCATTTTATTCCCCTCATTTTAATTACACCAGTTCAAGTGCAACACAGCGTTTCATGCAATCATCCAAGATAAAGATGAAGAATTGAAGGATAAACAAATGACTCACTTTAATGGATTTACTTCAGACAAGAGAAACCTGTAATTTCTCTTAGGTGTGCTTGACAGACCCATTGTGGAGTGAATCACAGTCTTACACAAGCCTTGAAGCCGTGGGTAGCTTTAGAGTTGTCAGATCGGCTTCTCGCAATAGGCAGTTGGTTTTTCACTGGGGCCTCCGAACTTCCTTTTCAAAAGATGGAGAAGATGGGTCACAGTCACTGAAGGAGGACTAGGGGCTGTCAGTGTGGATGCAGGTGATGGTGGGGCACAATGGTGGGCAACTCCACACCAACCTTCCTGCTGGATGATTGTCCACTTGTGGACTGTTAGATCTACTCCCTGGAAGCTGTGAGTACATGGTCCATGCCAACACCTCTTTCCTAGTGAAGGAAAGTTTGTTTTTGTACCTGTCTCAGAATGGGGAAAGTGTGTGCTTTATGATGATATTTTCTAGAACACTTGATTCTGCAGGCTCCTTCCCTAACATTATTAAGAAATGGACAAGCTCAAAGTTGGAGGGTTTTCCTCAGCCTCTTTTACATCTGTTTTTCTGCATGAAGTTGTCGGTCAGGCTTGAATGTTTACTCCTGGGAGTGAAAATGCAAAACATCCTGTCAAGCAATTAGACTCTGTCCCTGCACTATTCCCTTGCCTGATAAATTTTAATTTCCTTTCTTTAGACTGATGCAAAGCTAGAATTTGTTTTTATTCTTTAGTATCTTCTTCTTTTAGTGAAGTTGACAAAGCCGTCTTTATAGAACTTACAGAAAGCATTTCCTCCAGTTACTGTTAAAAATCTTTTTTCAAAAGTGTCTCTCCTGGTTTTGAATAGTCAATAGTATGCTGTTTGAAGGACTGTGTGCCTTAGATTCTAAGGGTAATTGTGGGGGTTCTAAAATGTCAGCACTCCAGTGAGCTTTCTTCATGCATCAGAGCAATTGTTGGGTCTATTGATTTCTTTACAATTACATAAGCATCAAGAGAGCTGGTGAGATGTTAAGACACCTTCCAACTCTGAAACTTTGTGATTCTTGAAATCTATCAGAATTTGAGTCCAGGCTCCAATCTCAGATAAAGTTCCTGAGCTACAAAGAGATGACTGTAAGCCATTTAAACCAGCCAAAGAAGAGATGCTGCTGATTCTAATAGATCTTTATATCTACCTTTCCCCCAAGGCTCTGTATAAAATGCCTCATCCATGGCAAGGGAGAACCAGTAAGAGCAATTAAGTAAATTCTATTATTGAGGTCAAGAAATTCTGCATCTTAAACATATAAACAACTCATTTAGCCATCTGATGTTATAATCAGAGTCCTAATTATACTGCTAGAGTAGATGGAACATATGGTTATGGAATTAGGCTAAGGGAAACACGCACACACACACACACACACACACAAACAGATGTGGGTCACCTCAGTCTTAAAGTTCCTCACCCTCCCATGAACCTTTCTCAATTGGTCATTCCATAAGACATTGAGATTGACCAAGGAGTATGAAGTGAGTTGCTGCCTATAAGGTTAACAAACTATTGAAAATGTGCCTATCCTGTCACTTTGTGGTGCAGATCAATGGAGAAGAACATTTTGGGAAAAGTGTTCACTTGGTTTGCAGATATTCCCAGGCAACTCACCTTAGGGTGTTTGTATTAAGTTTGAGGTA